TTATGTAATTTAGCTTTAGCCATGTCGCTGTATCATTACTTATTATTATGTCTAAGCCGCCATAGCCAAATGTAAAGAGGAGTAGAAGAGGGACACAAAAAAGATAGAAGTGAGAAATTAATAAAGACTCGGTCAAATACAAACACGCCTCAAATCACCCTTTCATTTATTTACCCCAGTAACGGTTACGCGAATCTCTGCTAGAGTTAGCGACTGACTCGCCGTTACACCGTTACAATATGTATTTAAAATAAAAAAGAATATTGCTAATTTGTAAGATAAAGATTTCTGATAAATTAAATATTTAAAAAATGTGATATATTATTAAATCTTTTGATTAAAACTTTTGTTAATTAATTTGATGAAACAAGATATATAATTCTAAAAATATCTATTATTTATAAACTTTATGCACGGTTGGTAAACGATACTTTTATTTGTTGTGATAGATATAATATTTGTATAGGGTACAATAATTATCATGTCCAAAAAGGGACGTGTAATTTTCTTTTGATCAACTCCGATCTGGAAGGTAATATTACAGTAAATGCAGTGTAAAGCATTTGCTATTACAAATTAATAATAAGGTAAATACTGTACTGATAAAAATAGGATCGATAATCAAATGATAGCCTAAAAATAATCAAGAATAATGCGATATGTGACTTTATACCACTTTAAACCATTAGTAGTAATTTAGTGTAAAGATATGACGAAGTTATGATTGGAAATGCTCCTTGGATATGAATTTAAAAATGATTTAATATGACAAGCAATTCCATTGCATTAATTAATATTATAAAATATTAAAACATTAAAAATTTTATTTAAATTAGTTTGATTAAGCAACAAATGTCTTTGAAATTTTTAAAATGTTCAAATTATGCAGATTGGTGAAGTTTTAACGAGCTATTCATCGAATCATGATATATACATTTTTTTGCGTGCATGTCTTTTTTTGGGGGGTTTTTCTAATTTTTCTAATTTTTTTTACGAACATTATTATTATTGTTAAATATATATGAATGGTATGTATGAATGATAATAATGACACATGAATTTATACTGGATGCACTAGATTCGTTGTAGGGGAATCCAGAGGTGATACTTGGTGAGAGGTCAAATGGTGAGGTCGCGCGATCGATGTATTTATTGGTGGTATGGATCTCGGACTTGAGGAAGCAGTTGGTGGAGCTCGAATGGTGGAAGCACTTGAGGATATCTCACTATCGACACTCATACTACTTTCGCTACTGCTTGACCACACTGAGCTAGTAACGGTCAACGATCTATCATTCACACTAATGCTATAATTGTTATTTCCTGAATAATCGAAAATGGCACGATTATCAGTATAGATGTGATTGTCAATGACAGCATCCTCATCCAATGTTCCGAGGGCAGACTTAAAACCAAGCACCCCTGATGAACCCAATGTTTGTGCATTAAAATTTCTTCTATTCCGACTTTTGTCACCGCTACTCGAATTGCTTGCGCCTTCTCCATGATTTTCATCGGTGATGTCTATAACTCCCGCAGTGTAAACATCCAGTGAACTCCCTTGATAAATGGCCAAGCTAGTTCTTCCATCGTTCATGGATACGGTTGCTGTTGAAAGGCGCTCGCTTGAACTCAACTTTCGTAGCCTCGTCACACCTTGTATAACGTGGAAAGCTTTCTTAAAGTTGGCATGTGCTCTCAGGCTGGATAAAGGAAATTGCGGTGATATTGGAGTAGAGGCAGAAGAATCCACATCGACCATCTCGGCAGCATACTTAAACCACGGGTGTGCCAACGCGTCATGAGCGGTGATTCTTCGATCCGGGTCATACGCCAACATCTTGTCTATCAAATCCTTTGCTTCGTCACTTATATTTGCCCAGTAATCATCATCGTAATGATAAACGCCTCTCAGGATGGACTCGAACAATTCACTCTGGTCTTCGCCCCAGAAAGGAGTATAGCCACACAACATGGTATAAAGTATGACGCCGACACTCCAAATGTCAACAGGTTTCCCGTAGCCAATTTGTTTCAACACTTCCGGGGCGACATAGCCAGGAGTGCCACAGGCCGTCATCAGGATGTCATTGTGATGCGTTAGAATCTTGGAGAGACCGAAGTCGGTTATCATCAACTTGGAGGATGAGGATTTATCGCTGAACAGGAGATTCTCGGGTTTTAGGTCACGGTGAACAATCTATATTTGACGAAAACGAGAATCGGCGGATAAGCAATTTGAACAGTGAAAAAAGAAGAAAATCAAACCATCAACGGTAAATGCGTACCTCATGCGCATGCAGGTATTCGACTCCTTGTAAAATCTGCTCGATCAAGGCCGCCGCATCTTTCTCGGTATAACTTCCGCGCTGAAGTAATTGACCAAACAATTCGCCACCCAGAGCTAAGCCGGTGATAATATATACAGCTTCCTTAGTTTCAAAGAGGTCATGTAGGGATACGACGTTCGGATGATCAACTTGCTTGAGAACGTCGAGTTCGGTGGTTAGCATTTGTTCTTTACCGCGAATATCAGTCTTCAGAATGATCTTTAAAGCGTAATTGACGCCCGTTCGCTTGTCGGTACATTCTTTGACCACAGCGAACGAACCTCGACCAAGAACTTTTTTGGAGACCTTATAATATTTTTCTAGTGACCAAGGGTACGGGGGTTCGTCGGAAGAAATAAAACTGGAAAGTTTTGTCTTTGTGCGTTTTTTATTAGCGTTCGTTGTGGCCTCTTGAGTTTTACCGAATGCATCGTCCTGAGCGACGAGGTTGTTGCCAATTTTCCCATTTTTAACAGGATTCTCGTCGTCCTTTGAACCAAATATTTGGGCCAGAATTTTGTGCATTGCCAACCTGAAATTTGTGAGAAGAGATTTAGGTTTGCGATTAATTATTATTAAAGTGGAAAATAATTAATATTATTAGATAATAGTTTTTGTGAAAAGCAAAAGCAAGATGCAGATGTATGTAATAAAGAGCAGGATGTAATGTTGTGTTGTGTTATGTTATGTTATCTAAGTAAAGAAGTAAAGCGTAATGCTATTGGAAAAAGTAAAAACTTGTTTGTTGAATAAACAAGAAAAAACCAGAAGCCCACTTATATATAACTTTTTTTTTTTGATCGTCTCCTGTGTAACACCCAAAAAAAACAATGAAATCATTTCGTGTGAGCTCATAGAACAGTGTGCTGCGCTAATGGCTAATGTAAACAACGGCGAATAATCTTAGGGTCATCATGAAAATCCGAGATTAGAAAATTAGGATTGAAATGATAAAGGTTTGATGAGTCATGACATACAGTCATCACTTCCAAAGTTCCGCGGTTACATTCATAATGCATTGAACGGGTAATCATCAAAGAAATGCGTGATCAAGAAGCATAGAAATAGAAAAATACCTGGTTCGATTTTTAAAATATGCCGGGGTATTCTTGCATGACTGCGTGAATGTGAGGCTCTTACGTCTCGCCTTGGGGTCATACTTTTTCCCGATGCTTATCATGGGTTCGTTATTCTCTGCGGAAAATTCGGAGACCACCTGATCCGCGTTGGTCACATGAGGAACGTTCGAATCGGAGTAAATCTCCAGATTGTTTTTATCGGTGGCAAAATTGTTTCCAGAATTCTTTTTACTCAGGAAAATAATGCGACCCTCAGTGTTAGACACAAAAGCTTCATTAATAATTAGTTCACTTTTTCCAACAATGTTATTGTTGATCTGAGGGCTCGGATTTGTTGTTATTGTCGTGATATTATTAGCGGTAGTGATGGTTGTCTTTGGTGTTTTCGCATTTGTAATACGCTGCTTTCCTTTCTGCTTATTATTGTTTTGTTCAACATTATGCTCCCGTTTCCTTCCGAGTGTCAATTGAAATATTGAATGTACATGGAGGGTTATATGTTCATGCATGTCTCTGTTCATTGATTAATGAGATTTAACGTTTTGTGTTACACATAATGATCATTTCTAGTATCACATACTTACGTGCTGATGTACCTGACTTATATGAATGAGAATTATTAAAGTGTGCGTGCGTCGATCGGATTTTCCTTTTCTTTATAGATTTGATCAAATGGAATGTTGGAATGTGGATCTAACGTCGATTAAGTTTTCTGCGCCAACACAGTGGACTTGAATGATTTTGCGCAAATAATGATGAAAAAAAAATGAAAAAAAAAGATAAAACACATACACACATATATATATATACAGTATATTTACAAAAGGGGCGTTAATTATATATTATTAAACTCAAGCGTCTTGTGAAAAGGAGAAAACCATCCGCATGGACGTTCTTTAAAATGAGAGGAAGAAAAATAAGACGGAATCAATAGAAGGGAAGCAAAGAGATATCAAATCAGATGCGTTCTGAAATGCTATTCATGCATAAATACAGAATTCGTAAGATAAATTCATGAAAGAGGAGAATAGAGAAAGTGAGGAAAAATTAGACGTTTAATAAAAATCGGTCCTTCTTTTTTGTAAAGAAAAACCAGGAGATTTTAGTTATATTAGAGCGAATAATCGTTGTTGAGTATTTATTATCATTTCAACAAAACCAAATAAGAAAGTCACGAGGAAGAAAAAACATGAGTAACACCGGTCACTGTTTATTTGTCACGAAGGTGACACGGGTGCGCAAAATTCCATAATTCCACGCATAAGAATGTCGAAGGAATTCGCATACCCGCTCCGGCATGCCATATACGGAATTTTCATCGCGCATCATGATTTCAAGTCATTCATTCGTGCCAATCTGCAGCGTAATAAAGATGATGCATCTATTTTAAGCATATTCGATATTCAATATTACCATAACATTTCTCATTTTTATTCCGTGGTTGCACATATTATATTATATACTGTATATACGGTGCTGTAATTTTTATTGCGGGACGTCATTAAAAATATCAAGTTACCAAGAACCATCTTAATGATAAGTACAAAGTTTATTCGATTTTTTTTTTTTAACAAAGAATCATAAATAAGATTTCTTGCTGTGTACATACGTAAGTTTTTTTTTTTTCACAACTTTGTTCACAAAGTATTTATTTATTTTCTAAAGGGAATTGATTTTGGAATTTTTGCGTATTCCCTGGTGTCATCTTCTTTATTTTCGAATTTCACCGGTGTCTACCAATTGCCCGGAAAACATTATTTTGGAATCAATTGCGTTCACACGCCCCTTGTTTGTCGTCTGACTGATAAATCTTTTCTTACTACAATCGAAGATTATTTGCGCGACCATATGAGATGCTATTTTTAGAAATTTTTTTAGTAACGGGTAACACGCAATACTGTGGCATATTACTCATAGTCTTTTACATACAAAATAAGTAATGATTGTTCATTGAGGAATTCAAAAAAATCTACGTACCGAATATCGGATCTTCATACCCGATTTATCTAGGAAACGTGGCAAAGTTAAAACTGTCTCGGCATCTTTTTTTTATTGGTAATTACGTAAGGGTTTTACCCCTAAGAATTGAAATTATGACAATTCGTCATAGTGGCTGAAAATGATTTGAAACTTTCCTACCCGGATTTTAATAATAACGATTAAACAAAGCGCTTATCTCGGAATATGTTATGATGACATAATACATAGCACGTAGATTGATGCGTGAGTTGCGTTTCATGGTTCTCCTTTGAAGAAGTGACTAAAGCAAAAAAAAGAAATAGTTAATGAATGAATGAATGAATGAATGAATGTGCATTGATCCAAACTCTTAAATCGTTTAGTATATATTTGTTAAGTGCATTTTTAAAGGTTATCCTTTTGAAGAGGCGACTAAAGCAAAAAAAGAAATAGTTAATGAATGAATCAATGAGCATTGATCAAAATCTTTAATCGTTTAATATATTTGTTAAGTGCGTTTTCAAAAAATGTTAACTTTATTAGAACAAAAGAAATTCAAAGAAAAACAAAAAGAAATCTCTTGATGCAACTAAAGTACTGTATTAAAATAAATGGCTAATAATAATCCGCGTATATACAGTATATACACGCTGCATTATTTCCAAATGGGGCAACAGTAATGTTTTAATTGCCTGATATATTTACTTTATATTCTGTCAATTGTGAATTATTAATTTATGAATGGAGGCCCCACCCTTTTTTTTTTAAATAAAAATTTATCGTAAATATACAGTCTATTACAAAGTCTAGATCTTTTAATTCGATTGTAACTTCAAAACAAATCAATATGCCATATATTTACTGCATAGACTATTTAAATTAAAATTATTTGAATTTTTTTTTTTTTTTTTTTTTTTTTTTTTTTTTTTTTTTTTTTTTTTTTTTTTTTTTTTTTTTTTTTTTTTTTTT